TGGAACTAGATGATCTTTTATGTCCCTTCCAGCCCAAACCATTCTGTGATTAGAGTATGTCCCCCCCAGATCAAATGGGCCTGCACCTACAATTATTCACTATTAGCTTCAAGTCTGGGCCAATTTTGGTTGAAATAAAGTGTATACAGGCCACGAGTTAACTGGGAAAAGGGAAAAGAAAATGAAAACAAGCCATTGGAGCATTTTTTCCCCATATAACTAAATCAGTTCAAGTGTTATAGGGGACACAGGTACAACCTTCCTAAGCATCTGAGACCTCCTGGCCTTTCTCATGTACTGAGCTACTCCCAGTCTTTCTTCAAACCTCTTCTTTAAGGTGTATTACCATATTTAATTAACTGTGTGATCTAGTCCATCTAAAATCCTTCTTTTTAGGCTGTTAGTCAAATATTTCTGACATTGTGGCCTATTTGATATGGACTGAAAGCCCAATGAGGTGTCTCCATTTTTAAAAGTCCAGGTACTCTTACAGTAACACTTTATAAGTCCATGAGAGTAGTTCTTCTCAAAGGAGGAAGGTTTAGGTGGCTTTACAGCATTGCTTTGAAGCCATAGTGGGGCATGGTGTGATTCAGTGGGCAAATGTTGGTTCCTTCATATTGTGCTGCATGTGAATGTTCAAGTGGTTGATGTTTTGTGTAAGCAAAGACATGCAAATATACCTTGTCTTAACTACTGGCTGATTTTTGTCTTTTGCTCTTTCCATTTAGATGACACTTTAGATGAGGCAACAAAGAAAGACCTTTTCACTGACACTTTCTGTAAGGTTTGCAGGGCAGTGCTGCAGTTTGAATCTCAGAGGGCGTCACACTATAAGGTAGGCTGGAAAGGAGAATTTCTCCTAGCAAGCACTGGGGCTTTAGCTTATTTGTTTGGGCTTTCTACATAGTGTTATAAAAGACTTTTTATAGTTTGTTTCTGAAGGCTTATGCTAGGCTTAGACATTAACCAGACTTGAATGTTGTGAAAGTTGTGGGTTCAGTGATAGTGAAGGGTAATCACCCGCATATTGCAGTATGATTTTAGAAGGAACTGAGCAGGTTCAGGCCATGCTGTATATGGGATTGAAGCAGATCTGTGCCATGTGAGCCGGAACGTATGTGTGGCATGGGGCAGCGCTAGCTATAGAGGACTGACGTCATGCCTCCTGATGCTTCACTTGATGATACACACGTGCTGCTCTGTGCACCAGTGTCTGCTTGAGGCAGGTTGTAGGAGTCATGCCGAAGGCATTTCTTGGAACAACTGTGTGCCTTGGGATGTTGCTGTAGACATGGGCAAGTGTGCTTTATTTTGCAACTTGATCTCAAGGGTGTGCAAGTGTGCAGGTACAGGCGTTTCTGTCTTTTTCTTCTTGTAAAAGTTAACAGTGTAATTTGCTGTCAGAAGTCCTTCTTGCTATTCATGCTATTAAGACTCTGGTCTTGCAAGGTGTTGTATTTACTTACTTCAATTTAACTTAAGCAGCAGTTGTGCTGTCAGAACTTTATCATAGAGTTCAGACCCTCAGGTTGATGTTCTGCTTCTTGCATGCAAATCCAGTTGAGGATAATAGACGCAGTTGTAAAGTTACCTGACTTCACCATTACAAATCAGACTGATGGAAAATAACTGACTTTTTTTTTCTCCCCTGAGTTGTATTATCTAGCCAGGTATGATAGGACCCCTTTCTCTTTAGTAATATTGTTATAATATCCTGCACTGCTCCTCAGAATCCTTAAAAGACATCTGAAAAGCATCAGATCAGAGACAGCAAGTTACTACTTTTGCTTTGTATGTTACCACTGTATAGGGTGGTGTGTGGGTAAGTGAGTTACAAGCGCAAGAGTTTGAAGGTTATAGGTTGAGAGAGCATCTAAGAGTTAAAAATTAATTGTGTCTGAGGGAAGTATATGTTAACACCCAATTTTAGTTACCTGGACTATTGTATCCTCAGTAGAAAGGTGTAGAAATCTCCATAGACTGACTCCAAGCTGGAGATACTTTAACTCAACTTCCAGGGAGACCTGTTTCTTTCCACTGACTGTATGGGGAGACTAGACTTCTTATTTAGGAAGGTAAGTTGAGTAATGCTGCCTGTCATTATTCTGTGCTGGGACACAGGACAGCCTTGATGTTAAGCCCCCAGGCTTAGTGGTAAAGGAGCACAGCAGACTTGCTCTGTGGCAGGGCTGCTTTCCTTTCCTTACCTATTTTAGCATCCCTGTTTGTAAAGGAATATGTCAGGATTTTTGATTCTCCAAAGAGTTGAGAGTAGATGACTGAGGGCTGCTTGAGGCAAAATGTTATGAGTAATGCTAAGTACTATATTATTGATTAAAGTATAGTATTGTTACATGAGCTCGTGTTGGTCCGCATATGGCACTGCTTTATACAAATACAATTTGGCAAGTGTTGAAAGCAGTTTTTGATGAAGTCCCAGTCACTGGATGTATCACTGCTTGGATCCTTGTTACTGAAACAGAAATAATTCTAGTCTCCTCCCAGGGCAAAAAACATGCTCAGAAAGTTCGTCTTTACATCCAAATGCATGGCAAGAAAGATGAAAGGCAGGAAGATGGCAAACAGAAGAAAACGGATTGTACCAACTTTCAGGTGGCTGTTCTTCTTCATTGCTAAATAAATGTTGCCTTGTATACTTCAGTGAGTGCTTGTAACTGAGCTTGCCCTTGTCTGGTTTCAGATGGATGGGAGTGGAGTAGTGGACAGAAACAAATACTGCAATCTCTGCAACATGTTTTTTACTTCCCCAGTTGTTGCTTTGTCTCACTACTTGGGAAAGATCCACGCTAAAAAGCTGAAGCAATTATCAGTAGACCAAGCCCACATGCCAGCACAGAGCATGCAGCCTGTTTCTGGTAAGAACTAAATAGTTTGCTTTGTGTGTTTTCCTGTCACTCTCTGAAACAAATATAGAGAAGTATCTCCTTACACTTGCCATGTCTCTATGCCTTTCTATTCTGCTGAAGTTGTGGAGCTGTCTTGTGGTAACTCCATAGGTGAATAAACAAAGATACTACTCTGTGCAACTCTGAAGCTATGGAACCTTGCTTTCAAATTCCCTGTCTTTCATTGACTAAAACTAAAGGCAAATATTTCTGATTTTTTATTAAAGAAAGGTGTTTATTGTTGTTCTGAGAATTCACTGCAGTTCCAACGAGATGTTCCTCTGATAAATTAATACGCTAAGAAATTAAAAAAGAATTAGTCCATGAGCAACACTTAACTGGTGTTAGTCCAGTACAAGTTGCTGAACTGTATTTAAAGATGGAGCATAGTGTATGCACTTTGAATCACCTTCTGCAGGGTACATCTCTCTTCTTGGACTGTATAAGGACCTTAGAGTGATCAGCCATCAAACACAGCTGATGTTTAGGTATCTAATGATGGGGTTTCTGAATATTGCAGGGTTGTATTCCTTACTAGTCTGTACATTCATATCCTTGCAAGGGCTAAGATATTTTATAGGCTCTTGCAAGTAGTTCAGCACCCAGCAGACTGTTCTCCTTTCCATCTCTGTAGTTCTGCAGTCACCTGTTTTGCTCCATGGAATTGTTTTAGCCTTTCCTTTGCTGTGCTGTCAGCAGATTTATCCTCTATTTCCATGTCTCCAGCTTTACAGAAGCCATCGGCTGAGAAGCCCTTGCTGCCTTCAAAAGCTGAAGAGTCTTCATCATCCTCCAACACAAAGTTGAAGTTAAATGATCCAGACAAGTACTGCAAGCTCTGCTGTGCTCCCTTCAATAATCCACTTGTGGCCCAGCAGCATTATGTTGGTAAGAAACACAGAAGAAATGAAGCACGGAAAAAGATACTGGAGGAGCTAGGAGACAAAGCTGTCCCTGCAGAATCCAGCACCAATGGTAAGCAGAACATGAGCAAGTGTTGCAAGCTCTGAGTGTAGCTTTAGTGCTCAGTTCTGATTTGTTCAAGGAACTGCTCTGATGTGTACGAGGAAATTATAGTCTTCTCCTGTGTTACAGAACAAGTTCATTTCTTCCTTTCTGTTTGGTCTATGAACTGCTAAAGTTCTGTCTCTGACAGCTGTAAATTGGAAAGTATTTCTTATTGACTTGGAGACCCAAATCCAGTCCTCACCGAGTTCTGCAGTCAAATTCAAAGGATCATAGAAAATAGCCTAGTCCCTTAAATCCAAGGCCAGCATCAGTTGTGTCTGTGTCATTCTTAAGATGTTCATCCACCTTGTTCATAAAAATCACCTGTGCTGGAAACTCTACAACCTCCATAAGGAACATCTCCCAGGACTTCTTGATCTTTACCTTCTCAATCTTAAAACCTTCTACAGACATTGAACTCGGCTCTCTTGGACCACAATGTATTTCTTCACTGTGCACAGAACAAGAAGCAGACACAAGAATTGAATCATTTGTTTCCTTTTTGTCGCTTTCTTTACGTAATTGAAAACTGGTGTCATGTCTTCCCTTAATCCTTTATTCATGAAACTGGTTGTCTTAGTTATTTCGATCTTTCCACATAAGGAAATCTGTTTCCTAAACAGTCATTGTTCTCTAGCCTCCCATCAGGACTGTCTCCAACTCAAGCACTGTGTCCAAAGCCAAGGCCCTATTGCTGTGCAACTGCCATTAATTTTGAGGGGGCATCATCTGGTCCTGTGCAACAGAACTGCCAATCCTTTCTTTAGTAAGGAATTCAAAATCCTACCTGATAGTCAAAAGTCATTGTTAGTATAAAACAGCTCTCATTAAGTCATGCTATAATTTGAACAAAATAATACGTTTTGATGCAAAGCAATAGTCTATTGGAATTAATGCTGTATTTTGCTAATGGATTAAGCTCTTGGGTTTGCATGGGGAAAAACGGTACTCACTGGTTTCAGTATACTTCGCTCTATGGATGACACAGCTTGCGGGAGAGGAAAAAAACGACAACCTAGAAAACAAAAGAGTTTTTCTCATCTGACCTTACCTTATATTTGCCTGAGGCTCCATGTACCGTATTCATGATGTACTATATTGACAATTCCCTCAGCATCTTTGCAGGGTTGAACCAACACTGCATGAACATTTGAGGGGATAATGTTTAAACTGATCTTTAATTAAATCTGGACTGACTGGATTGGTATCTGTTGGTGCTTGCATTGGGTCGGGTATTTACAATAGTATTTAATTTTTCAGTACAGTTCATTCTTATCAGCACTTGACAACAGTTTACTGGAATTATCTTGGATCACATCAGTCATCAGAAATACTCTTTGTTAATGTTTAAACCATGGTTACACTGCAACTGTACACCTCACCAGCTCCCTTCATAAATATTTTTCTAGTGTAAAATTGCAGCAGAGACTCTATATCTGCCTATAAACATTGTTTATGGGAACAGTGTATTAGGACTCTTGCATGGGATGGGATCATGATGTGCTTTCAGTTTTGCTTTTGTTTGTAGTCTCTCTAACCTACAGGTTCCTTCTTTTCAGCAGTTGGGGTTGGTTATTACATGTGCCCCATATGTAACATCACACTTACATCTATAGAGACGTACCAATCCCATGTGCAAGGGAATAAGCACCGGATTAAGTAAGTCAATAAATCTTTCATTACTATTCCTCTGTATTTTGTACTTTCGAACTTTTTCATTAGCCCTGTTGTCTGCTGTTAAGTGACTTGGAATACTTTGTGGGTTTCTTGGTTTTGTTTGGGTTGGGGGCTTTTTTGTTGTTGTTTGGTTTAGTGGTTTAAAGGGGCACTGTCCATTTAAACATCACACTTGAGACTGAAATTCAGTCTTATTGTTCCCACAGTTGCATCTTCAATGATAACCCACAGGGTAAAGGTTCTGAAAGCTGTACAGTTTTCCCACTTATTTTGCTGTTTGGGGATAACAGCACCTGTTTTGGTACCGCATCTTCAGTGCTCAGTCTAGAAGGAGGTGGTCTGAACTTAAAGATTCCTACTGACAGGGCAAAGAAGACCTTAATGCCAAAAAGTGCCAAGTCTCTATCAATTGTGTTGCTTTCAGAATTCATCAACATGGATGTTACATTTGGCATAAGATGATTTATGGGATAGATGATGGCTCTTACACTTTTCCTTTTACCCAGAAGAGGGCTTGTAGACTGTGTTAATTGCAGAATGGATATAGTGGTGATTTAAAATGTACTTTTCAGAGATTGCTGTCCAAGTAGGCTAAGTATCAAAATTGCTTACATGTTAAGCATTTTGATAAGACATTGTAAGTGAAGGCGCAATAATAATAGAACCACAAGAGACTGATGTAGAACTGATAGACAGTCATAGAATCATAGAATGGTTTGGGTTGGAAGGGATGTAAAAGATCATCTAGTTCCACCCCCCCTGCCATGGGCAGGGACACCTTCCAGTAGACCAGGTT